AATGATTACAAAAACAAATAATTAACCATCTAGAAAGAGAGAATAGTTTTTTTACAGTGATCCTTCCTTTTGCTGTGGAATCTCCGCAACCATCCACTGTATGTTGAGAGGGTCTGTAGCTGGTTTCTCAATGTATGCCTTTGTGGTCTTGAAGTCAATGTCTTTACGCTTCCCGTAGAAACCAGTGCAGGACAAATACAGAGGGATAATGATTGAAAACTTATCAACACATGATTCAACAACATTATGATTGTGTGAAGACACCATGGAATCATAGACATATAGTTGCCTGTCCGCTATGTCGAAAACGACCAACAACCAATGGAAATTCTCTACAATGTTCATGGGCATGATGACATAGTCAACTTCATCCCAGGCAACATTAGCAAGAAGTCTATACCCAAGAATATATTCTGCAACATCATCATCGGGTTTAACAACCGAATACTTTTGTTCTGGCGGAGTACTTATGAACTTCTCATAGATTTGTTCAATCTTTGACTTGAACATGCAATCGGTTGTTGTAAACCTAGTGTTGTTGTTGTTGGGGCCATATTTGCCTCTTTTCTCAGGTAATACATAATAACATCAATGTGCTGCAAAATAAAATAAAATCTACTATAAGCTACAGTGTAACTACAATTATCAACAAAGCAGATACACTTTAAACTACAAAGCCAGAATTCAAATAATCTAACAAATAGCTACACTTTAGCTGCTATACACAGCAACACATGGAACACAGCAACTACCATAAGGTATCAATAATATCGACATTCTAACTATAGTTAATATTGTTAGTCTTCATCTTGCTCTACAATATAACTATAAATTAACTACAATCATGAAATACAGATATACCAATTCTGTCCAACCTAAATACAATCACACTATAAATAATAAGAGCAGCATTTATAAGAAATGTCTACATTATATCTACAATGTATAATAAAATGCATGGTCACATATATTAAATAGCTATAATATAACTACAATTATACTACAAAACAGAAGACAAAATATATCTTGTGAATTTATTCTTTGATACTTACCGAGTCATTGAGGACTTGTCCGGGGTGAGCAAGGAAATAAAACCAGTCCTTCTTATCCACCTTTTCAACTCCAAGGTCTAACCAAGGCTTGATTTGGTTATCCTTTATTGAAAAGGGAGCCTTCCTCCTGTAACAACAAATAAATGTCCAATAAAAAAAATCACATAATGAATTACATATTTAAACTTTAAAATACTGAAATGAAAGTGTCAAATTAAGCATTCACACCTCTTTGATACTTTGTCACTACGGTGGTATAACCACTTGTTGAACTTATCTAACACATCAGAATCTACATTTTCACCTATAAGAGTTGTGAAGGGGTGTTTGAGGTAGAAAAATTTAGGTCCAATAGAGCTGCTGCCTCCAGAACTATAAAAAGAGGTATGAAAGGTGATGGTGCATGTTTCCCCGGTTGTCTGGTTCTCCCCGGATGAATAGGGGTTGCTTCATCTGGTATGGGCTTTCCATACTTAACCAATTGTGTTAAGTTGTCTGGCAACTCAAAGTCATCCAATGTCACACCTTTCTTATCAATGCCCGATCCTTTAGAAACAACTTCATCCACATGTTGTGCATCTTCACCTTCATTTAGCTGTTTTTCAATGACTTGTTCTGTCTGAGCTGCTACAGTCACTCCGTGAATTAGGGACTGTACATTGACATCTTCAATATCTGTTACATAAAACATAACTTACTTAACAGGAATGTAAAATTGTATAAACAACATTTATTTATTGAATGACAGTATGTTATTATACCCGCTTGTTCTACCTCAGCTGCTTCTTGAAAATCTGGATATAAGTCAACATGTTCTGGAACATGTTCTGGACAAACTGCAGCTTCAATTTAAAATTAAAAAAATGTAAATAATACTAGATAATGCTGCCTTGAAAGTTGTAGATATAGGTAGGAAGTTGTAGATAAAATGTGAATAATAAAACTATGCTCTATAAAGTTTTATACTAAGTGTATATATTTGTAGGTGTTTTGTAGATACCTGTGTTGCTTGTGCTTGCATGCATTTGATCACCAATATTGCAATGAAATTGCTGGTTGTTCACCCCTTGTTGTTGGTCATTGTTTTTGGTTGAACTACCAGCAAACTAAAGATTTTATGATAGTTTGAGTATATTGTTTCATATGTCATAATTTGTTTTGGTATATAAATATATGTCAACTCTTACCTTTGCCTCATCCACATCATATCTCCTGTTTATCAATTTCAAAACACTCTTCACAGAATCATCTATAAACACTCGAAGGTCATGGAGTTCCTTAAATACAGCCTTCCTAAAATCCTCTAACTTTCCACCAACCTAAAAGTTACAAAATATAGTTAGTTGGTAATTTTATTCAAATAAATTATAAATCAGTTTAATTATGTACGAGGCAGTATTGTTTTCACAGTTGTCTACAAATTGCTACAGTTATACTACAATTTAACTACAATGTGTGCAATCCCAACAGGGCTGACTATATAATTATACTACAATTTAACTACAATGTATACTACATAAATTGTTATGAAATGTAGATAAATTTTAGCAAATATGTAAATATATTGTAGTTAATAATATTACCTGCTCAATTCCCTTTTCTAGCTTCCTGAGCTTCTTAGCCACAGATTCCTTGTCCTCTTGACAATCTGTATGTTTGGGTTCCAATGTTGGAGAATCAGTATTTGGAACCTCTGATGATTGTGCGCCTTGTTCATCTTCATACCCAATCTTGTTTGGCAGAGTAAGCACTCCAACCTCTTCTCCAGATTCTGTCATGCTTGTGAACTGAATGATGAAAAAAAATAGTTAGTTCCACTAAGGCAGAAAATGTAGACTAATTGTAGATATTATGAAGGTAAATGTAGCAACATAGAAAACTGAAAAAAAATACCTTAATCCTCAGGCTTGATCATCTTCTCTTCAAAGGCAGTTAACCAAATCTGCCCCTTAGTAGCTGACCATCTTAATATGCGAGGTATTGAGTCAGAACACCTCGTAGCAAGCTTCGTGCTGACGGTCGAACAACACTCATAAAGCCACACTTGCAAGGCTAATGAGCATCCCCGTATGAGATAAGAATGTACACGGTGATTTAGACAATGCCTAACGGATTCCATAACCTGTTGGAACGATTTAATTCCCCATGGGTATGACTCAAACTGACCAGACTCTACCAAATAGAACCTAAATTGGTCTATAAAAGACACATGGTCTTTGTCATAAGGGCAAACAAAAAATTCCAAAAGATAAAGAATGCACAACTTGACTGCATCCTCATCGTTTACCCAAGATCTATTTGTTACTGTGTTTTTCAAATACCACTTCTCTACTCTTTTTTTGTTAGGAAAATAGCTATTCATTAACTTGCTAACATAACTAGAAGTATATTCATAATCTGTAAACTGATTCACACAATTTAAACCGGTAATTAAACCAAACTCTCTCAATGAAAAATTCAATTTTTCCCCCTTCAATTGGACTGAAAAAAATGATTCATTAGACTTAGACAGTTCATACTTCATCAGGAGATGAATAGCTTGGTTTTGCATGCAAATGGAGGGGAGAGACAGTAAGTAACCAAAACAAGTATTTTTAAAAAGCTTTAAAGCATTTGGAGACAATAACTCTTTTATCTGGCTAGCAATGCTAGGATCACACAAAGTGTGGAATCTAAGCACACCATAATCCACATTATGTGGGGCAAAATAATGTCCATTCTGCACAAAATGATAAATTATTTCACATTAGTAAAATGCATAAAAATGAAGCATTAATCTACATATTATCTACATATAACTACACAATCACTACACAAATAGCTAAAAACAAATCAGGAAGAAAAAATACATACAAATCTGCTTCAAAAAAATACAGCCTACCCACACATATAACTACAAAACACTACAAGACATCTACAGATATAAAAATTATCTACAAAAATGCAGGAAGAAAAAAGTAATTACAGCTCTGTTTCAAAATTTAAAAGCTAAGGACAATCATAACTACAATTATAAACTGTAGAAAATCACAACTACAAATAATCTACAAAATTAAGACAACTAATCTACAATTTATCAAAACACTTAAAACAGAGATTTTTACATCCAAAACAAAACTACAAAACTGGAAACGAAAATAATAAATGTTTACCTTCACCAATTTTTTTTTCTAACCAATTTTGGGAGTTTTTTGGACTGTTTCTTCGTTTTTTGCTTTGAGGAAGCAGGAGACAACTTGGGTTTTTTAACTTTTGGAATTTTAGGGACATCGTCAACAAAGTCATCATCTACACATAGCTCTTTACCCTTTCTTTTGAGTTGTTTGCTGCCTGGTATAGCACTTCCTCCAGCATCGACATCGTGCAAATGCTTTGTTCTCTTCTCGGCACGGATTTGTCTAGGAGATGAACTGTGAGTAGTAGGTTCCATTGCATGTGTAGATTTTACTTGTTTTTGTGGTGATTTTGGTGTTAAAACACCCAAATCGAAAGAGGGGATATCACCTACTGTAGATTTTTTAGGTATTTTTTTGGGAGATTTGATGTTCTTCATGGTTTAACTTAAACTTGACTAAAAATGGAACGAATTTTGTAGAATGATAAGTTCAATATTTGGTGAATTTAAATGCAGAAAAATGAAGAACGTGGGGGAGCTTTTGTTCTNAAAGGTAAAACGTAGGGAGGGGGGAGGGGGAGTTGAACTGAAAGGAAAGAGAAACGTGGGAAGTCCTATAATTATGCCTCATATAAATGCCCCATTAATTATATCCCTTTTTTAAATTATGGTATATAAATGATAATCTAGTATACTAAATGTAATTTACTCAAACCTTAAACATATAGGGTAAAAGGTTTCATATATGGGATAGGAATGTAAAAATCCCTTTGAACAATATAGTACTAATAGACCCTTCTTTAGTACTTTATAACTGCCAAAAAACTTTCAAATCGTATGAAATTCCATGTATCTACTAAATTCAAATCTTTATGAAACTAAAACTTACATGTACATAGGTCCAATTTAATACATAACAGCACAACAGACCAGGTCTTTGAGATCTACATTGTACAAACAATGACAGCATAATACATTTTCAGGTCTATATTCTACAAACACAAGCTACGAAGGATACAACTTGCAAACCATTAAAAAAACTCTATCCTTTTAGACAATAAAATACGAGAAACGGATCGATCACCTATAGTCGACATCTGGAACTGCGAATATACACCTAAACATCCATTGGAATGGTCTCAGGAATACTGCTCTCTGCTTCTTCCAGAACCAAATGGCTGCACTGTACTGTTCGTTACGAATTGTTCTTGTTGCAGCTTTCCAGTCATATTTCTCCATCTCTATGCGTGCAGTTTTCCCCATAGTTTCTCTCAATTCAGCATCGCGCAACAGAGGCACTAGTTTACTCAGGCAGTCGTCAAGGTCCCCAGGATTAAACAGATATCCAATCTTGCCCTGCTGATCATCAGGGATGATATCTGGAACTCCACCGGCACAGGCAGCTACTACAGGAAGCCCTGATGACATGGCCTCCAAAACGACGAGCCCCAGTGTCTCTGACTCTGAAGGCATAAGAAAAACATCTCCACTGGCATATGCTTGGGAAAGCTCCTCCCCTAATAACATGCCTGTGAACACGGCAGGCATGCCATGGAACATTTTCTCCAATTCCTCCCTATAAGAAGTGAAGAGAACGATAAATTTACTACTACTCTATGTAAGGATCGTAGATTATGTCTCATTATAATGTTGAGAAAACATGAAACATTTTTTCTCAAGGAAACTCTTTTATTTAAAAAACAGCAATGGCTTCCAGTTATACACATTCTTAGTTAATTCAGCATTCAATAGTAGATTCCTTTTTTTCCCCTATAACCGAAAAATACGCTGTTTACAGCTCCGGAGCTTAGTGGACAATGCGCCTGCCCTCTACCCTTCAACGCTCAAATACCACACTTGGTTCACAGCAGGATTCGAACTCATTGCATGTTCTTACCACATATTCAGCGTATGCTACCTTTACCATCGAACCAAAGCTCTGGGGGCCATTTGACAGTAGATTCTTGCTAGCAAACAGCCATGTCCTATCAAAAAGTGTTGCTGGCTTCGCATTGTAAGATACTATTTATTTCTCAGCAATATTTAACTATATTATTTCTGCCAAGAAGGTAGATAACTAACTTCTGAAAAGGAAAATCCCAGAAAATATAATATGACCTAATATAATTTGACCTAAATAATCAAGTATATGCAGTGCACATGAGGAACGTAATAAGTGCACCACCTGCATTGCTAATACCAGAGTACTTCCCAGCCACTTTCAAGAATCTGGGATTAGTCAGAGTGACTGAATAATGTGGTGAACTCAACTTCTTACACAGTTCTCTATCGTGTTGAATTAATAAACACAAGTACTCCTTAACAAACTAAGAAACCCTAACCAATTAACCAAAAACTAGAAAATACTAGTTACTGTACCATTATAAATTGAGGAAACCCCGGCATGTCAAAAGTTAAAACATTACTATCAGAATTTTGACACATAGGAAGTTTCAGTAAGATTTTTGGGAAAGCTTTCCATTTCTTAAAATTGGAAGTCTCCTTTGAGTTTTTTAACACAACCTAAGTAACGATTCTGGCAATATTAGGACCAGGTAAAAGAATCCAGTCATGTCCTTGTATGCATAATATAGTCACCTCATAAAAATTTAGACTGAACATTCGTTATGGTACAAGAGATAAGATTTAGTGTACTTTCATAGGCAAAGAACATGAAAACATTCATGCTGATGTTCGGAAATTAAGAAGCAAAACAGTAAGTGCAACTAACCTGTATGGCCCATCTCCAATAAAAGCTATGCGAACATCTGGAAGTCTATCCATGACCCTGTTTCAAAACCATTCTCAAATGTCATGTGCAAGTTACCGACATTTTCATATTAGCTTAATCAAGCACATAATTTGCTTGATATTATACATTCTCCAAAAATTCCAAGTCTTTTTTCCCCGCTATATGAATGAAGGAAGAGCTGTACCTTTTGAGGAAATCCAAACTCTTCTCAACTCCAAGTCGTCCAACATGGACTATCAAAGGTTTATCGGATTCTCCATTACTAATTATGAATAGTAGCAGGAGCAAAGGAGAAGAATTATCAGCACATACTAAAGATTACTTCGTACTGGATCAAATTTCAGCTGAAAAGGTCCTACCTTAATCTTAGTCGCATTTCATGAGACCGATAACGGGGGTGGAAGCTCTCGGAATCAACACCCTTATTCCACAACCGTATTCTGTTAGCTGACAATGAACAAAAAAGGACAGAAAGAATGATCAACTTGTTAAAAGCTGAATGCTTTAATGGGTAAAAGCATCTGAATCCAGCAAAAAACTGCTTTGACAGAACAGATAAGATGGAGGTTTTCTTTTTCTCCTATCGCTAATTAATAAAATCATTATTGGAGAGCAATTGACTAGTTCAAGTTTCCGCCTTTTACCTTTTGTTACCTTATAAGCTTCCAGATCCTTTGCAATAGCAGCAGATGGAACCAGCGTAAGATCAGCAGCTCCATGTAGAAACTCTGGTGAAGCAGTAAATATATCTTAATTAGTATCGAGAAGAGAAGTAAGACAAGAGCTAATTTGGAAGATATTGCTCAACTGACATACTTATAACCATCCACATTGGTTGAACCAGCCAACTAAAGGTGTATCTGGGTATGTACCTGAAGAACAAGAATGAGGATTAGAGTAGTTATTCAGAGAAAAAAACGGAAAAGTAAATAGGATCAAAGTAAAGACATCCAGTGATATATCGTAAATAGTTCTAGCTTCATATACTTTTTGCTTAGTGTTCTCCATCAGGAAGATCAATTTTCGATAAACCTTTTGTTTCATGGTTAAAGTTGTAAATTTAAGAAATCAAATATTCCAATATAGAAATGAGATAAGAAGCAGAAGGAAGGAGTGAACTTACACTGGCACATGCGTGTGGTAAGACATTACAATCGGCACAGATAGAAGTTTCGCAATGATAAGAGCACCAAATACCTAAAACAAGGAAAAAGGTTATCTTAGATAGGAAGCTGGAAAATTTTAATTCCCCTTAAGCTTTTCGCTAGCAACTACAGGAACATAACTGAAAGAAGAAAAAAGGAACTGAAAACTTACCATTATACCCGGAGATGATGCATGTATGATATCAGGCTTGAACTGTACTACCTCGGAGATTATTCTAGGGCTGAGAGCAAGTGAGAGGGGTACTTTCCGGTAGCAGGGGCAGGGAAAACTGCAAAGAAAGTAAAAACATCAGGAAGAAGCTTTTTTTAAAAGGGATGGGAAAAGCATCATAAGTTGACAATTCTTCATTATCATGGAGTCCTCAACCTCTAACTGTTTGACGTTGACATAGTAGAATAAGTGAGTTAATTCATTAAACAAGGAAAGGTAACAGTTGCAACCTCTGTGATCCTATCAACTTTGCCCCATAAAATTCTTGGGGTACTCCTTCATGCGTCGTCACAACCATAACCTGCACCACAAATTCACAGAGCCTGTTCAGCAGTTGATCATCAGGTGTAAATCATCAATCATAATAGTTTAACATGTAACCAAGGGGTGTATTTATAACAAATAACAATGGATATCTCTGAGGTAAATTACTGCTTGAATAAACATTTGCTCCAGTATGTGCAGAAAAAGCATATCAAAATTGCTTGACATTGATTCAGGTGAAAGGAAATAGAAGAGATCAAAGGATATTAAATTCTTTATTGATAAAATATAAAAATATTCATTGGATTAGTAATATGAAACATGGCAATTTCACAAGTAGATATACGATATAGCACGTCATTCAGGCCCCTACCGAAATAACACCAGCAGACATCATAAACTAATAACATCATAGTCAGACATAGAATATACCTCATCCCCCAGTTCGCGGAGATACTTTATAAAATTCTGGAACCTGTTCTTATATCCAGAAACATACCTGTATATTGCACAAAAAGGAAAAGAATGGTTGTCATCAATAATAAGCCAATTCACGGACAAAATATAATGGGAGTAAGATGTGATTGAAATCATGCATAAATCTTGATCATAAAATTAGAAAAATTAGGTATAAAGTTGACTTTATAAAACTGACAAGCTCTCTCTCTAAAAGCAGATTTGCATATGTAAAGTAGGACACTGGAGAGTGGAGACTCTAGCCCCCCACCCCACCCACACACACAAAAAAAGGAAAAAGAAACTAACTAAAGGATGAAAGAAGTCATACTTATAAGTTTCTGAAAAGGACAGCGAGAATGAAATAGAAGCAGGAATTTCACTTAAGTCTATCCAAGGTTGAAGTTTATCTATTTGAACACAAAACTGTTCCAAAATATGACATCAATATGACAGTTTGATATTTTGTAAATCTCGTGCGATCCCTCTAGCTGAATAAGCTTAAGGAACTATGCAGGGAGAACGAAGAGCCAAAATGCAGCGAAAAGCAGTTAGGTTCAAGTAGTGAAGTGGTAACGAGCATGATGAGAACTAGAACAATGAATTGTACCTAAGCTGTATTTGTTCAGCTTATTCTTAAATATATTAGATGACAATTCCAATACTACCTTACAGAATCTTAGCAAATCAATGAAGACAGTTAAAGACCATTCAAGTATAGCAAAGACAATCGCTTATACTTTTGAATAAAAGTTACTCAGAAATCTGCAAATTAATCCATCAACACCACATTGCATGACAGATTGATACTTGAAAACACATTACAACAATCAAATTAGTTAAAGTAACATTCAATTTCTGATAGGATCCAAATACAATGACAATATGGTGATGCAAAGAAAGACAACATAAGATGATTTGATTGCAAAAAATACAAAGCAGAGTAATTGCATTTCCCTGAAATATATTCACATAAGACATTAGCAAAGCTGCATATCATAGGAAGAACAAATGGTTAATGATCAACTCATTAACAGTAATATCTGGCAGCATATAAACAAATAAATGATGAACAATATCTGGCAACAGCTATAAATAGACTTGCACATAAAATGCAAAATAATGAAATAATAATAATAAAAGCATAACACCCAGATCCAAAAGTTAGTGGATCAGATAATCAAAAGTCAACTCATCAAACAAAAAGTAAATAGTTAAACAAAAGTTTAGTAGCAAGAGCATCTATAGCTAACAACTTACCAATTTGGGTCATAACAACAACATGTGAATATTGCACAAAAATCTAAGTATGGAATATAATTAATGACTCACGCAAAAGGAGAAGGCTCAATAAAGAGAGCAATACGCCTAGGCCTTGAACTCATTTCAGATAAAAGCAAAGGAGGAGGATTCTCTTCATCTTCATCTCTGTACTCAGTAATTGTCATCTTATTACTAGCTTTTGCAGCAATTAAGGATCTTTTCTTTAAGGGTCTTTTCTTAAAACTCTTTTTACACTGTAAAAAATTGATCTTTTTGTAAATTAAAGTAATGGGGTATGTTCTTGAAGTAGAAAAGCAAGAAACTTTATGAAAACACGAGGAAGAGGGAGGTAAGGAATAATTAAAGGAAGAAGAATTTATAAAGAGAGAAGAATAGTTGGACATGTTAAGAGTGGTCTAAATGATGTTAATATAGTATGCTGGGTGGGTGGGGGGGGGGGAGGGTTGTATTCTAGTTAGATTATTGAAGGCAGATAAGGAGAGTGCGTGTGAGATTGAAAAGAAAAGAATCTGAGGGGCCACGGGAGAAGGGACTCTAACAAGGGATATTCTTTAGAGAAAGGGTGGAAATGGGGAATAATTGGAAGCTATGAAAAGCATATGCTATTTATAAAATTTTGGTTTCTCGCCCAATATTCGATACTTGATTTTTGGGTCGGATTAATTTGAATTCTGTTCCATTTTGGGGTATAGTATTTTTTACAGAAAACGACTTCATACTTGAGGCTTGAAACTAAGACGTCTAGCTAAAAATAAATGAATATTTACTAGTCTACCACAATCTTTGGTGGTATGCTATTTAAAAAAAATAATATGTGGCTTTCAATTATTTTTTTGGTAGAAATATGTTATTTTCTATCTTTTGTGGGGTCTTCATTCTTAAATACTACTTAGTATAAAATTGAAGCAAGAGTAATTGAAGATCTGGCCTTTAGTGAAATATCTTATTTCTTGTATATGTTTGTGTGTGGGGCTTTTGAGTTTCCATATTAGATATTGAGAGCATATGCTATTTAGTCCACAATATATGCCTCCACACCCCACCCCACCCCACCCCCCACCCCCTCCAAAACAAAATCCTATTAGGAGCATTGTATTACTTATTCTCTTTTGTGTGGTTTCTTGTCTCATAATATATAATTGAAGCAAAGGAAATTTGAATCTTTTCATGTGTGTATGCTATTAAGTTTCAATGATCAAGATTTGAACTACTTAGAGATGGTTTGGTGTCTAATCCAAGCTGTCATAAATATGTTTGTTTTTTTCTGCTCAAACATTTTATGTTTTAGTATTATTTTTTGAACTACACGAAGTCATGACTTTCCATAAACTGCAATTAGTATGTTATTGATCTATGTTTCCAATGGAAAATGATTTTTCTTTTTGGACAGTACAAGTAGAATAGAAGTCCTTCATTACTGCTTTCGTTAATAGAAACCACAGTGGTCAGCAAGTCAGAAAATAAAGAGGAATTTTCCCCAAATTGAATTGGGTGGATTTGGGCTGGAAAGGGGCCTCAACTTCTTCTGCTATAATTAAGGTCGTTCAAAATCGAATCATAATCGATAACTGAATCGCAGAAAAGGGTAATTGCCTTATTGGTATCGGGTTATCGGATTAAGGATTGGTGAACGGATTCAAATCTTATAATTAACGATTTATCGGTTCAAGGAAGGATTACTCAATTTGCTTATCGGATAAATCGTTAACCGTTAAGAATTATTATATTTATATTTTTAGCCTTATGTATATAATGCATCTCTTCCATTATTTGACACCCTGCTTTCTTATTTCCCTAAATCTCATTCTCTATTCTCTCAACATCTTAGGAAATAGTGACACCAGTCAGACTTATAATGAAACACCTTTGTAGTAGTCTAAGCTTCAACGTCATCATAACTTGGGTTTTGCGGTACGATTAGGCAGATCTGGATAGTTCTTGATACCTTTCTGCTCTAGTGAATCATTTAACTTGATAACTCAAGCAAAACTATATCTGGAATTTGTATTAATTGAACTTCTATTACTGGTTGAGGACCCCAATTTGTATTTTAGCTTGCTTATTGTAAAAGAATTAAAAAAAAGAAGAAACTGACATTAACAATAAGAGCTTCATTAGCCTACTACAGTGTAATTATGATTAGATCGTCTATCTATTGTTTATTGTCTTGCTTACTTATGTAATTTTCATTTATTATTTGATTTAGCCAATAAATCGCCCGATAATTGCTAATCCGATACCAATCTGTCCAATATCTTATCGGGTGGCTAGTGGATAAGTATATTTATAAGTTGATAACTGATTAGCCAATTTGTTAAGCGTAAATATCTGCCCAATCCACCCGATAAGCAGCCCTAGCTATAATTCTTTCTTTCTTTCTTTTTGTAATAGTTATATAGAAATGACATCATGTGTAACGACCCGACCGGTAGTTTTGAGCATCTGCACTTTGCTCGGTAGTTTGGGGACACGAGTAGCTCCGTATGATGTATTAGGACTTGTGTACAAAATTTGAGTTCATTCCGAGTTGATTTGATATGTTTCGGCGTGAGTTTTCGGAAGTTGAAAGTTCATTAAGTTTGATTTGAGGTGCGTTTCGTCGTTTCGAGGTTGTTATGCATGATTTGAGGCATCGAGTAAGTCCTTGTTATGTTATGAAACTTGTGGTATGTTCTTAAGGGGTCCCGAGGGGCTCGGGTGAGTTTCGGATAGGTATGGGTTGTGTTGCGCTCATTTTTCTTATGTTTCAACGTCATTTCTTCAAGTATAAATGGTACCACATTGAACAAATGAGCTCCAATTTCTGTTTTGATTGAAGCATTAGATCCGTATCATAATTACGGATTCATAGCAAAAAGAATCGTCGAATTTGGACATCAGTATGAGGATTTATGGTCATTTTACTAAGAATTGGGTTGCCAGATTTTTCAGATTAATTATGAATTTGCCACTGACTTCGTATTTAAAAATCTGCACTATTTCCAAATATTGAAACCAACATATCTCCTTCATTATAAGGTCAAATGGAGTGATTCAAAAGCTTATCTTGACTGAAATTTCACAAGAATCTATTGGAGGTATCAAAAGCAAGTTTTAGGATTGTTTGTCACACAAGACGAGGCAGAACAACAAGGCAAAAATACTTAATATCGAATGTTTGTTCATTTGGTCATATTTTGAGTTGGGGAGCACGGATTTGGACAATTTTTTTAGCCGATTTTCATCATATGGATTGGGGTAAGTGTTCTATACTCGATTTTGGTTATAATTCATGAATTCATTTTAGTTTTTGGCATTTGATTGATGATTTCAAAGTGAAAATTGGGGGGTTTTGTCTAAAATTTCATAAAGTCAACTTTTGAGTTTTGAATATCGATTCGGAGTCGTATTTGAGTGAAACTAGTATGGATGGACTCGTAATTGAATGGGTTGTCGGATTTTATGAGTTTGTTGGGTTCTAAGGCGCGAGCCCGGTTTGACTTTTTGGTCGATTTTGAGATTTTGATTAAAGATTCGACCTTTATCGATTGGGTTTGTTTCCTTTGGCATTATTTGATGTATTTGAGTTTCTTTTTGCTAGTTTCGAGCCGTTAGGAGGTCGGTACGCCCGGGATGGCATTTTTGGAGCATCATTTGGCTCGCTGGGTATTGGGTTTGGCTTGTTCGAGGTAAGTAACACTTCTAAACTTGGTGCTGAGGGTATAAAACCCCAAATTACGTGTTATGTGTTTGGTGTTGAGGTGATGCACATGATATGTGACGGGCGTGTGGGCGTGCACCGTGTGAATTGTGACTCCGTTATTTCTGTGGTACTGTGTAGTTACCTGATCTTATTTGTAACCATGAAATCTCTACGTACTAGAGCTATTGAGCTGCGATCCAAGTCAGAAACCATGTCTAAGCTACATGTTTATTCTGTTGGGACCTACTGAGGTCATATTGTTGTTGAATTATTTGTTTAAATTGTAATTCCATACTCAGTCATGTTCATTCATTTCATATCATATCTCAGTCTCTGTATCTATTTTTTGACACATCATATCATCATTTTTGGGCTAGTTTCATGGCATTGTGAGCCCGAGAGACTGGAGAGATTGATGACTGAGTGAGGCCAAGGGCCTGAGTGTGGGTGATAATATAGGATCGGGATGCACGTCGCAGCATGTTATATTGATTTATGCATGTATCTGGCTTATTATGGCGCTTGGGCTGAAGGAGCCCCCCCGAGTCTGTACACACCCTCAGTAAGCGCGATTTATTTATATTGAGGGATGGATCTTCCCTAGGCATGGAGCTTGCCCGAAGCATTTATATTTGGGGGTGGACCTTCCCCGAGATGCATTGGCATTATAAAGTACTGAATGATTGATTGTCAGCTGCTATGTATATACTCGGGATGGATTTTCCCTGGGCTGGATTGGCCATATACAATATTGAGTAATTGAGCATGTTGAGTGGTTGAGCATGATGAGTGAAAAGTGTGAGACAGTGAGATTGAGTACTCTGAGAGTGTGAGTACATGAGTTCATCTCTGAGATACATTGCATTTGACATGCACACTTGACATACAAGCATAGAGATGCATTTTTTCTCATGCTGTACGGTATCACGTCATTCATGACTTCTCACACATATTGACATATAGGCATAAAGATGTATTTTTCTCATGTCATTTGAAAATGAAGCATTTACCTGTTGAAAGCTTTTTGGGAGAAATCACAGTTTTCAAACTTACTCATATTTTTGGCGATTTCAGTAAAAGATTTGGATTTTCACTAATATACTTGAAAAAAACATGCCTATTTTCTGGAACTATGAAGGAGCTGAGCATTTTATCTCTGAGTTACTTCTTTTATTACTTTCATTATGTTGTTATGAATTGTTGTTGGCTATTGGTGTTGGACTCTGACCTTGGTTCCAGCTCGTCACTACTTTCAACCTAAGGTTAAGTTTGTTACTTATTGAGTACATGGGGTCGGTGCAGTGGCGGATGCACATAGCCACTTGTGGGTGCTTAAGCACCCATTAACTTTGACCATATTTAGTAATTTACATACGCTATTGTACAAATATTTAGATAAATATTGAGTGAGCACCCATAAATAAATTTATTTTTCCTCTTCTTTTGGAGTCTTTATCAGCGAGCACCCATAATTTTAAAATTCTGGATCCGCCACTGGGTCGGTGTACTCATACTACATTTTTGTGCCTTGCGTGTAGATGTTGGATGCTGATGCTGCTGTGATCGACGGGAGCTAGAATTGAAGACGTACATGCGTTCCAGTTGTAGCTTCCTCTTGTTCATGGTAGCCTTAGATTTATAAAAATCTGTTTATATACATTTCGAACATATGATGTTTGTTTCATACCAGCTTTGTAAATTCTAATCTTAGAAACTCATGATTTG